TTATGTTTAGTATTTTTAAAGTTTGATTAAATATCTAAACTATTGAATTTTAAAACGAATTGTACTTGGTGAAATATTCAAAATTTCAAAAATTTCAAAAATCTAGAATATTGATATTTTAAAACTTTGACCATAAATCCTAAAGTCTTAAATTTGAAATCTTTTCAAAATTTTGAATTGTTAAGTGTTACACGGACCATCCTCTCAATGAAAAGACACACATGAATGTAAAACACATAAACTTATAATTCTACATTTTGAACAAAGACTACTGAGTAAAACATTTTGGAAATCATACTTATACATTTGTATTCGAAAGCAAAATTATAGGACCTTGCCAGATATTTTTCTTCTTGTCTTAAAATGGTTTTTGTATACTAGTAGATTCGATTTCTATAAATACAATGACATGTAAGCTAGTAGGGCACACTGTTAGTAAATGATTAAGTTGATCTAAATAACCTGCTTTTTTCTATTTTCTTATTCAATGCATTTGATATTCGAATCAGGGTGTGACTTAACAACAGGGTTTCAAATGATTTCAAATGAAGGTTGCTTTAACCCACGGAGGTCAAATAATTTTCATATTTTGGAAGTCTTTTTGTTTTCCACCATGTGTTAACTGTTACAACTGTAGTCGGTTTCTATAACAAATAACAGATGAGACTGCACACATTGATAATATGAATCCACAGGTAATAATATATGTGACGAAGGGGCAGGAAACTGCCAAAGGAAAATGAGGATATGTGAGAAACTTTGCCCTCCAACAGGCAACTTATGGACTTCTTATACTTTTGTCGCAAGGGTTCGTTAACGTGTAGAGAGCATGGAACTTATCCTACAGGAGGCTTTGAATTTAACGCCCCCATTCAGATGTGGCTGTGGTTTTTATACATCCCTTATATCCAAATCCAGATCGACTTTTTAGAAAGTTGTTTTGTTCGGTATAATAAAACACTTAATAACTGGTTATAAGAGTAATAAATAGCAAGTTTGTTGTCCCTTTGATACTAACTATTGCCCTCGGCTCCGCTTCGAGCAATAGTTGGTATCTCAGGGACAACAAACTTGCTATTACCCTCCTAACCAGTCAATAGGTTATATTGTTAAGTGTGAATTATAATTTGATTGTATTTTGAGTTATTTCCCTTTGGAAAGAAATGGTGTATGGATAGATAGTGTATCTATAATTGTATCTGTTTTATTAGTGAAGTCAGGAGCTGTCAAAAGTTTCTTTTAAACTATTTTTTTAAAGTCATGTCTCTTTTAAAGGAAGTTGATGTCATAAAACACAATGGATACACAATTATCACCACAATTAATATATCTGAAAAAGCTAATCTATTTTAAACTCACCATTAGTTGTGCACTAAATCTATAAATATAGAATTAATTAACTATTTATTATCCCAACCCTCCTATTGTGGTATGGATCTTTGTGCTAAAATTTCTTACACATCCATACACTTATACTGAAGTTATTATTATAATTGTCTGTAAATCAATTTATTTTCCATGAACCAGTGATGTAAGCCACAAAAATACTTCTCTAAAATCAGATATGATGTTATAATTATTTTCAACTATGACCAGACCTTTTCAAATATATGTTATAATAGCATAGTGTCTGACACAGAATGAATGTGGTATAAGTTCTTAAATAATTTTAAAATTAGACATTTACCAATTATATATGGTCCAATATTCAAATTCCAAATACATGGTTGGATTCAGCATATCAAATAACCACATTGTTTATTTTTTTGTTAAAATCAAACTTAAGTAAGTTTTATTTTGGATAATTTGGACCTTTATGTGGTCCAGTTTGAAAAACGGACCAAAAATCAAAAATTTACAACACTGTTAGATTGCAAATCTTAAAGAACACTAATGATTTAAATTTTGAGGAAATCAAACAAACTTTAATTTTGGACCCAAATTTGGACCAACTTTGAAAACCAAGTACAAAATCAAAAAATATAAAACACTGTTGGATTGACCATATCAAATAAAACAAACAATTTAATTTTTGATGATATCAAACAATGTTCAATTTTGGACCCCAATTTAGTCCATCTAATTGCTGAAACAATAAGCAATTTACATAAAGTATTGGTTTTGGCCCCTTTTAACTAAACCAATAGGGTCATAACCATTAAAATCAATCTCAAACTTTGTTTCATGGTAAAACACCTTGTGGCACAATTAAATAGCAACATATAGACTTATACTCAAGTTATTGTCCAGAAATCAGAAAATCCTAATTTTTTGGCCCCTTTTCAAGCCCTTATCATTGAACGGTTTGAACCATGACCCCTTCAATCAATCCCAACTTTCCGTTTAAAGTATGCAACCTTGCAGTAAAATTTCATAGAAATCCAAACTCTAATACACAAATTAGCGTCCTGAAACATAAAAAAAATGCTTCTTTTTGACCCCTTTTTGGTCCTTAATTACTAAACAGCTACAACAATAACCCCCAAAATAAATCCCAACCTTCCTATTGTGGAACTGAACCTTGTGCTTAAATTTAATACAGATCTATACAGTTATACTCAAGTTATTGTCTGTGAACCAGACAAACAATTGTTTTTGTTAAGCCCTTTTTGGCCCCTAATTCCTAAACAGCTATTAAAATAACCCCCAAAAATAAACCCCAACCTGCCTATTGTGGTATGGAACCTTGTGCTAAAATTGAATAGAGATCCATACACTTATACTCAAGTTATTGCCTGCAAACCAGAAAATTAGTTATTTTCTGCCACTTTTTGACCACTAATTATAAAAAGATATGGGCCATGACCCTCCAAAAATCATTCAAAACTTTTCTTTTGAAGTATGGACCCTTGTGGTAAAATATAATAGAAATCTATACTCTTATACACCAAATATTGTCCTGAAACATGAAAAATGCTTGTTTTTGGCCCCTTTTTGCCCCCTAATTCCTAAACAGCTAAGACAATGACCCCCAAAATTAATCCCATCTTCCTATTGTGGTATGGAACCTTGTGCTAAAATTTAATAGAGATCCATACACTTATACTCAAGTTATTGTCTGTGAACCCGACAAAAAACGTTTTTGTTAGACCTTTTTTGGCCCCTAATTCCTTTACAGCTATGACAATAACCCCCAAAATTAATCCCAACCTTCCTATTGTGGTATGGAACCTTGTGCTAAAATTTAATAGAGATCCATACACTTATACTCAAGTTATTGTCTGTGAACCTGACAAAAAAATGTTTTTGTTAGACCCTTTTTGGCCCCTAATTCCTTAACAGCTATGACAATAACCCCCAAAATGAATCCCAACCTTCCTATTGTGGTGTGGAACCTTGTGCTAAAATATTGACCAAATAAATATCACTTATACTCAAGTTATTGTCTTAATACAAGACAAATATTTGTTTTTGGCCCCTTTCTGGCCCCTAATTACCAAACCGCTAAAACAATAACCCCCAAAATCAATCCCAACCCTCCTATTGTGGAATGGAACCTTATACTAAAATTTCTTACACATCCATACACTTACACTAATGTTATTGTCTGCGAACCAATTTATTTTCCATGAACCAGTAATACTGACCTTTTTTGGCCTCTTATTACAAAACCGCAAGTACAATAGCCCCAAAAACAATCCCAAACATCCTTTAGTGGTATGGAACCTTTTGCTAAAATTTCATAGAGATCCATGAACTTATACTCAAGTTATTGTCTGCAAACCAAAATGTCTTCAGACGCAGACGCAGCCAACAGCATAACATAATACTACCGCTTTGCCGTCGTATAAAAAAATGGAATAAAATGCTGCAATTGAACGCTAAACTGGTTCTTATTTATGTGACTGTGTGATGTAAACAACTAGATCAACATAGGCCCCTTTATCTGACTACACGGTATGGTGTTTTCTCATTGTTGAAGGCCGTACAGTGACCTATAATTGTTAACATCTATGAAATTTGGTCTCTGGTGTAGAGTTGTCTGATGGGCAATCATATCTTCTTATTTTCATATTTACTATGTTCAAGCTCGGAGATTTTAATTTCTGGTCATTTGATGATTCAGTAAGAATAAGCCATTCACCATGTTCACTGACCGTAACCATATTTTACTATGCATATATGCTGACAACCTTCAGATCGATTCATAAACCTTCAATGATAAGAGATTAGTAACATTATTTTCATATTAAATCTACCCGAAAGACGAAATAAAGGGGTAAAAAATACGTTCTTTTTTTCGTTTTTTTTTTGTATTCGTTTTTTTTTAATTTTATAATGAAAATTAATGACTTAGTTGCCTGTACCATTCCATTACAAAATAAGAAGATAGAAGACAGAACGAAAAGAATGAATGAATGATAGAACAAACAAAGAAAAAATCGAATAAGGAAACATGTAGACTACATGATCATTTAAAGATGAATCAACAGCTATATACTTATAACATCATTTAAGAATTGAATGCTTCTTTTTGTAAATTTATTGGCTTCCGCGCTTCATACAAAATGTACTTCGGTCAACGCTTTTACAACCCTATAAAATTACTACAAGAAGCATTCAATACTTATAATTACATTTTTTTGCTAGGATCATGAAAACACGATTTCTATCAAGTTTTTCTTTTATTTACCTGTGCTCTTTATTGTGGAAGCTCGTGTCATCATGCATGTTACATTTCATTTTGAAATGCAGGTTAATTTCAGAATGACGCGAGGTTGCTGTTAGCCAATCACAATAACGTATTATAATGAACTATACACGTAATGTAATTATTACTCTGTTAACGTAATCACAAAGGTCAATACACTTAGTCTACTACATTTATTTACTTATTATCTATATTAATCTATCTCTCGATTAAAAGTTGTTTTTCTAATTGAACTGTATAGTATGAAACTCATATTTGATGACCAAACTAAAGAAATAATTCTTTTTAACTTACCACGGATGATATATATCATTGGTAACAGTATTGTTTGTAAACAAATTCTTTGGCATTTCGCTTTTTCAACTTTAATATGAAAACAAATATATATATAAAAAAAGTAGTCAATAAATAACTAAAAACTAAATGGAAATATTTAAATTTGTCAAAGTGTATCACCAACGGAAGCTGCTTCGCTAAAGCAGCGAGTTATAATGTTTATTTGAAACCAACGCTATTTTTTCTGGATTGATATTCTGTACAAATTAGTTATTGCACAAGATCGCTTCTTCGCGCACGTGATGTTCTGTATGAAATCTGATCAGAAGTACAGCTGCTGATATGACATTTTTATGTCTTGTTTTTTCTCTCTTAGAGGCCTGTGTTTGTTGTATTACTTGCAAATGCACAGCGTTCAAATGAATGTGTTCCTCCTATCACTTTTTATTGTGTTTTGTTTCATCCACATGAACATAGCAATCTCAATGATCCCCAACAGTTATGTTTTAGGACGATACTATTTCTATCAAAGATTTTATTTAGTACGTATTTGCTTTTATAAGATTGCACTATTATTTTTTCCTATGATTTTGTATGCCACTTTCTTTCTTGTTCTCTTTCACCCTCAGCCTTTCGTCATATGTCTATTAAATTTAAAGCACGTCTTCGGCCTTAACATTGCCAGGTAATATGATATCATAGTGGCCAACTCTTATGATAAATATAAGCTATTACCCTTTGCAAGTAAGGCTGATATCGTTCGTGTATATAATATTTGCTTTCTCGTATTAATCGGTTGGTAAAAATATTTTGCATATTCTGATCTGGATGTAAGAGGTAATAGTTGGTATGAAACATTGATATAAAAAACGAGTTATATGGTTCCTAAATAATATTAAGTTAGCTGATAATATTGGCATGCTTCTTCATATGACGGAGGAGCAGCAACGATAGGCGGTCTATTACTGAGGTTGCTGTCAGGAGAGTCACGATTTTCTACAGTGGATGTTAGAGGAATATTATCAGGCGTGTTATCACCGGAAGCGGAAGTATAAGTTTCTTCTGCTGGTATTGCTACTGAATCATACACTGGCGGTGCTGACGGATCCAAGGCTGTGCTTTCTGGTTCTATTATTTGACTGTGTAACATATTTTGTGTTTCACTAGGTTCATTAGATCTCCTTGTAAAAAAACCATTTTGAGGTCTATGCATGTCTATTTCTGAAGTGAAAGATATATATTTATCAATATTTAAAATCTGGAAGTAAATTGAACAAATTGATAATTTCATGTTAAGCAGGTAGACATACTGTATCTATTAATAAAGAACTGTGCCATGAGCGCGTGATACGCCCGTCTCATTTCAAAGAATAAAGTTCCATAACTCCTCAATGTCATATCAGAAATTTATATAAAAAAAAACTACAGCTTTTTATGAATAAAATCCCATAACTCGGAAACGTAAAATCTAAAATTTATAAAAATCAAAAGGGAGCTTACGTCAATAGATACAAACAATCCACCAAAGTTTCACGAAAATTACTCAAAGTATTTTTGAGTTATTGTCCGAAAACTGGGAAATCTCCCTTTTCTAATGATTAAAACCCCATAACATTTTTGAGTTATTGTCCGAAAACTGGGAAATCTCCCTTTTTCAATGAATAAAACCCCATAACTCGGAAACGTAAAATTAACAATTTATAAAAATCGAAACGGAGCTCACGTCGATAGATAAAAACAATTCACCAAAGTTTCATGCAAATTAGTTAAAGCGTTTCTGAGTTATTGTCCGAAAACTGGAAAATCCTTTTTTTAATGAATAAAACCACATAACTCGGAAACGTAAAATTTAATATTTATAAAAATCGAAAGGGAGCTCACGTCAATAGATATAAACAATTCATCAAAGCTTAATGCAAATTGGTTTTTGAGTTATTGTCCAACATTTTGACGACGGACAGACGGATGGACGGACAACGGTATACCAGAATATGTCCCGCAAACGGGCGTATCAAAATCATTGGTAAGAAAATATCGACCATTTTTTATAAATATATTATAAGCATCCAAATGCAACACAAACTTTTGAATTCTGTTTAACGCCAAGGATGACTTGGGTATAGAAAAATGGTCATACGTTGGTCTTTAGCCGACCAGCAGTAAAACCCTTGAAAATGTATATTTGGCAGAGAAAACTGTAAAAGTTCGCATAACGTGCGGTCAGAATGGGGACGTTAAATACCAATGCCACGTGTAGAGTGCGTGTCACGCTCTCTGCAGGTAAAGAACCATTGCAACAATTTGTTTTGGAAGGGGGTCCGAAGGTGACCTTTTGCAAGGCTAAATTTCTGTCCCTATCCAATATACCCTTATTTCCCAGTGGCTTTCCAAATTTCCCACTTATTTTCGCAGTCGACCCTTATTGCAGGGCAAACTTATTGTATTTATCGTTAATTTTTTCTCGTCCAGAACATTAAAATCATTTTTGCCATTTTAAACAAACAACATTTAATCAAGCAATTGATTTAAGTTTGCATGCGTGCTTCAAAAGCATTGATGGCACTTACTTTTACTAACGCATTGCTAAATTCAATGTTTTTAAATTTTATATGAAGCGCGGAATATTTTTAATCTAAAAAAATCAAACAATGAACACAAATTTTGGACGGACGGGCGGAACGGGCGTACATGTAGATGCCAAAGTATAAAAACAGTATGCTCACTCCAACTGCGATATAATAATAGACATATCTAAAATATTAAGTATGAATTTCGTTAGAACAACTCAGGTAAGTTGAAACTTCTCTTTAGCAAAGGTGTATGTGTCTATCATATTTGTACTAAATACGATTCATCAAACGTTATCACCTGACAGATACCCGATTGAAAGAGGGTGTGGATGAGGATCCCTCAATTCTTTATTCTTTAACTTTTTATACCATCTTTCTCTATTCTTTATCTATCTTGTCCACTATTCTCTAACCTTTATATTTTAGCATCCTAATATTCTCTATTCTTAATTTTTTTACAATATTTCACTATTTATTAATTTTGTTTGCCCTTTATTCTGCACATGATTCAGAATCATTAACTAAAATAACCACTGGTTTTTGGTTCGTGTTGCTCATTCCAGTTTTCTATGTAGTCTTTTGTAGAATTTTGTTTGTCTTTTTAATTGCTTTTCTTTTTTTCCGTGGTTTTATCGCGCTCTCTTCGATTTCTCAATTTTGATTGTGACCCTTTGGTATGGTCCGCCTCTTTTTCAACATCACTGAAAGAAAAATTCGTCATACCTTGATTTAAGTAATTTTCGTCCCGCCTTGTAGAGCTGGAAGAGCAAAGATTTTTACAGCACGTGCCACAAATCGTCATTCCAACTACACCCCCAACTGTACAGAGTATAACTATTGGAAATCTGCTACTTTCATCACTGTCGGATGATGAAGAATCATCATTGTCAACACCATCATTATTTGAATTCCATGATGACCACTGGTATGACTGTGTAGTAGTAGACCATTCTGTAAGATTAATCAATCTTATACAATCACGTTAAAGGAAGAAGACTTAACATAGTTAAAAAGTACTTGACAATATACACCATACTGAACATTAAATGGTGTGATATTTTAAATTTTTGTTTTGTTTTGTTTGATATGTCTTACTATTATCATGTTTGTCGTTCTTGTTGTTTTCTTTTTCTTTCTTTCTTTTTTTTTTTGAAATGAGGGGGCCAATTTATGTTATTTTATTTTTTTGTTTGCTTCTTACATGTATATATAGCATGTAGGTATTGTCTTTTTTCAAAATTTTGAATTGATATAAAATATGGAGATGTGGTGTGATTGCAAATAGACAACTTATTCACTTTATAAGCTCAAAGGAAAATGATGTTAGCAACTACAATGAGCAAAACCTAAACCGTATAAAAGAAACCAGAATAATTAATCTGAAACAATTCAGAAATAAAGCTAAAAGCCTTATTTAAGCAAATAACACTAAACAAGAGCAAAACAAGTATGCAAGACGACAACCAACGGAAACTACTAGACTACAAATCAAGAGTGCTAGAACTCAGAATACAATAAATTTTAAATCTAAGCTATTGCAAACTGCTTTGGTGTACTTTAAGTGAAATAATCATAATATACATTTATAGTACCACATTGTGTATGGAAAATACTGAATGATGCATTCTGTTGTATATATGATGATCATCAAAATTCTTAAGATGGATTAGAACTCAACTTAGATAAATCAAGACTATTTGTTTAAAAAAACCTGTCGGATAATATATTTAACAATTGCCCTAAAAGAAGTAAATAAAAAAGTTCTTTTTTTTTTGCTTTCCCCACATTTAGTTTTCATAAAAATACTTATAATTTTCGATTTGTTAACACTTTAAAGGTTAGTACAACAGGTATCCTCCTCCTAACTTCTATGTACAGTAGGTAATTATGCCTCTGAACTTTAAGCAAATAACACAGTCAATCACTCAATACAGTAGGATATCTTTGAGGTTTGAGGCAGCACATATGTTTAACTCCCTCTCACATACTCACATAAGGCCGCAGTTATCAATTCATTTATATTTCCCCTGGTATTTTCTCACTTTTTTTTCACCAGTTTAAATTTATATATAGTTACAGAATTGGTGAAGGAGAAATACAACATTAGTGCATGAAAATTAGTGTTAGTGCTGCATCTAGTATATGTAAAAATGTGAAAAATTTGAAAATGCTTCAAACCTTACAAAACTTTACAATACCAGATATCTTAACTGGTACAAATTGTATGTAGATGTGGAATTTGACTTTTGAATTTCCAAAATGGCCACCGTAACCATATAAACAACACAAATTGTAAAATTTGAAATTTGATCCAATCTTTATGAAACTTGACAGTAATGTGACCAGTCATGTGTATTCTGCTATCCGATTTTGGAATTTTCAAAATGGCTGTTGTTACCATGGATACAGAAGAGGGACGAACGATACCAGAGGGACAGTCAAACTCATAGATCGAAAACAAACTGACAACGCCATGGCCAAAAATAAAAAGACAAACAGACAAATAATAGTACAGATGACACAACATAGAAAACTAAAGACTAAGCAACACGAACCCCACCAAAAACTGGGGTTGATCTCAGGTGCTCCGGAAGGGTAAGCAGATCCTGCTCCACATGTGGCACCCGTCGTGTTGCTTATGTTTTTACAAATCCGGTAAATAGTCTAATTCGGTAGGTCACATTCGTGAAAATTGAAGGGTATTGTAGTTACGACATAAGGAACATATCCGATATCATCTGTGAAACAGTTATTCCATAACGGTCAACCAACTCGTGATGGCGTCCGTAAAATTTACGAAGGGATGATTTCAACTTCACCATTTGGAACTCGTGGAACAGCAGAATAATGGTTGGGGTCGTTTGGGCGACTTTTGTGTTTGCACAGGATTACTTGTATATAATTGGTTTTTTTTATTCGCATTCGATTCTTTATACATGTTATACTTTGATCTGTCTTCTTTTTTATTAGTGGGCAAGTTCACTGCATGCTTACTTTATGAAATTGAATGCTACCATCAAGGAACTTTTCTTATTTCGAGTGTGTGCGTGACTGTGTCATTTAAGCTCATGCAACTTAAATTTATTATACACTTATGTACTAACAATAAAAAATATTTACATAACTACTTTCTTCAGAATTCCCTTTTCATGTTTACATTTGATTTCCAAAAACCATTATTAAAACAAAATTAATACATTAGAATCAATAAACTATTTGTGTAACAAAATATTTTTAATTTTTCATGACTTACAACATTACCTTTTGGCTTTGGAGTTGTGGTTTGACATAACTGTGAAGTTTTGTTTAGGGAAAATATTTGTATTTCAACTGCACATCTATCTGACGAAATAGTGCAATCCCATCCCGAATCCAAACCAAAGGTAAATTTCACTGTCTTTCCTTTTAATTCCCATGGAAGACACCACGTCCAGTGTAGTCCACTGTTCAGGGTCTACAATTCGAAATAATCTTCGTGAAGACAAACATATACTTTTATGTTTTTTAGTTTAAACAGTATTTTATTCAAATAAATTGAATTGGATTGGGCAACAGGCAAATCCTATGTAAGCCTTCTCCATAAAACAAGGTACAATATATATTACATTCAAACAAAACAACACATACACAAACATAATGACAACACAGAATTATTTTTCAAAACTATCTCATAGCTGACTGGAAGGATGCTTCAAATAGTTAACTCAGATAAAAATTATAAATATTCTAAGAATGCTTTAAAAAGTTAACTCAGAGAAAACTAAGTAATAAACTCCAATATTGATTTAGAGGCCTTCATTAAATTAAACGACCGTTATTCGTCATGAAGGTACCCCCATTACCACCCTCGTAAAAGTGACGCCACCAAAATTCAAACTTGATCTGTGTTTTGTGGTAATAAACATTATGTATAATTTTCATAACATTTGGTTGAGGCAAACTAAAGTTAGAGAACGGACAGGAAAAATTAGCAATTTTTTTCATTTGTAAAGGGGCATAACTCTAGAACGGTAAAAGTTACGCCACCGAAATTCAAACTTGACCTGTTTTGTGGTAATAAGCATTGTGTATAAGTTTCATAACGTTTGGTTAAAGCAAACTAAAGTAAGAGAAAGGAAAACAATTTTGGGACGTACGGACGGACGTACGGACGGACGTACGTACAGACGGACAAGGGTAAAACTTAATGCCCCCTCCGCTACGTCGGGGCATAAAAATGTACAAAAGATGGTTTGAATGATATAGAAAATAGAGGTGCATTTATGGTTTTGTAGCTTTTATAATATCAATTATTGTCATTATTTTTTTAATTTCTGTTTCAATTTAAACTATTTTTCAACCGGTAAGGGTCTTAAAGCTTGAATATAAAATAAATTAGAGACATAAAAATTAACAAGTTTATTTAGGTTCGGACTATAAAATATATTTCAATATATAAATCTTTCTGAATTTTCAATGTATTTATGAACAGCCTTAACTATCTGAATATTGTCTTCAATACTCATAGATTGATCACCAAATAGTAATAACTTCAAATCAATATCAACTTCATAAGAAGACAATTTATCAAGGAGTATGGTCATGTTTAAAGTGTATGATGGACAATCAAAAAAGTAATGGTAATTGTCTTCACATTGATTTAAACATTTAGGACAGGAAGGTTTTTCAATCAAAAAATCATGGAACAAGTGAGAAATTAAATTACTTGCTTCATTTCGTAATTGACAGTGAATGATATTGAATGTTCTTATACCAGTACAAATCTATTTAGGAGGAATCTCTGGTTTATATATTTTATCAAGTAAAAATTTGAACTGGTTAATCGACAAAGCATTTTTTACATATGGATCTAATTCATTCCAGAGTTTAACAACAGATGGTATGAAACTTCTATAATATGAAACTGTTTTTCACCTTGGAATGGTATAATTATGAGGATCTCTTCTAAAATTGTAATCATTTTGTGTGGAAAGACAAGGTTCTAATAAATCTATCATATAACTTGGAGAAAATCCATTTTTTATTTTATAAAATGTAGTCAGATTATGCTTCTTCCTTCTGTCTGATAATTTTTCAAGACCTAATTCAGTGTACAATTTTTTAAAAGAAGTTGTACGTCGGAGACCAGTAATAATTCGAGCGGCTTCAATTTGAACACTTTCCAATAAGTTAGCTACTTGTAAAGTACAATTATCCCATATAATGTTTGCATATTCTAGAATAGGGCGAATAAATGCTGTATAAATTGTAGTAAGTACATTTCGATCCAAACTATATTGTACTTGTCTTAATAAATGTAATCTAGAACATGTTTTTTATAAATTGTACTTATAAAATTCTATATGTAATTTCCAACTGGACTTACTCTCAAAGTTGAGACCTAGGTGACAGTGACTTTTAACTTCTTTAATTTGATCCACATCAATACAAAATTTAAAGAAGGAGGATTTATGTCTTTTCGAGAAAATGAAAGGGTTTCTGTTTTTCAGGCATTAAATGTAACAGCCCAATTTTCAGCCCATGTTTTTATCCTCCCAAGATCATCAATCAATGACCTAGATACAGTATCATAATCATCATCAATAATGGCATATAAAGAGGTGTCATATGCGAATAATCTAATATGATTACTCATATTTTCCACAATGTCGTTTATATAAGTTAAAAAAAGGAAGGGACCCAGTACCGAGCCTTGGGGTACCCCTGCACTGATACCTTTTTGAGATGAATAAAACCCATCCAAAACAACTTTCTGGCATCTGTCACCTAGGTAGTCTCCAATCCAATCAATTAAATTACTATGAATACCAAACACTTTCAATTTATATAATAAACCATCATGCCAAACTTTGTCAAAGGCTTTAGAAATATCACAAAAAATAAAGCGTCTATCTTTTCCTTTATCAAGATTGGAAATAATAGTATTATATATTTCTGCTTGTTGATTTACTGTACTATCACCTGGTTGAAATCCGTATTGAAATTTACATAACAAATTGTGATTTTTTTTTATGTAATAACAAAAGGAAAATTTATAAACTAGTGGAGTGCTTAGTAAGCATCCGTGACAAATGAATCTAAAAAAATATATGTGAACTAGTTTTTTTTCATATTTAAATTTTTTTTCATATTTAAATTTATTGCTTATTTTTCAAAATTCACATGATTACAGATTACTATTAAATTGTTCTGTAATTAGATGATTACTTTATTCAGTACATCGTTCATTTTTTCAATCAGTATTTAATTATCTTATTGTTGTATTTTCGAAAGTTATTTGTTATTCTTTTACAGCCAATTTTTCTCTATTCGTTATGTTTTTGCTAATTTTTCTCCATAATAATTCAATATTATTTTATTTTATATATATATTTTATATATATATTTTTTTCTGTTTGGTATTAAATTAATAGCTAAGATCCATTTTGTTACATCTTTGTGATCTGTTTATTTGACAATCGCCAATGGCAGTCAGCAGGGTTTAAGAACATCCCGTTGTTCGACCTGCTAGTCAAATGCGTTTTGTTAAAATATACTTTTTCACTTTTTGGGTCTTTTGGAAAATGTTGTTTGTGCTGTATTTAGACCCCTCTACCAAGAAATTTGTTTTGCATGCACACGTATAAAAAATTGCGGTTTTTATCCAACGCAATCATAGGTTTGAACGTTGTTTTCAATTTAGACTTGTTTATATATATATATGTTGAGGGGGGGGGGTCATTATTCTCTATTCTTTAAACCCCATCCATACCCTCATATAACATACTAAATGAATCTGTTATTTTCTACATTATTCTTCGGGTTGTGTAAAACATATTGTGTGTATGTCTTACATGTACACATTGGCTCTTCTAACTGATACAGAGAAATAGTTCTAGGTTATAAAAATTATTCAATACAAAATTTAATCTTAATAATGATAGATATACTTTTCGATTCTTAAAAAGCAAAAATTGAAGGGGAAAATTAGATCGACTCAATTAGCCCTTTTTAATATCCAATATAGAAAAACAGTAATAATAACAATAAAGAAGAAGAAAAAAATGGAATTTAGAAGCTAGCAAAATTAATGTAATAGAAAGACAAAAAATGAAGTATTGCTTGAATTTATTGTTTACAAATTGTTTTCAATTGGATGGTGGACACGGACAATGTAATCTGTGTAATATGTCATTGTTCTATGTGCATAATCATCTTTGAAGAAATGAATCAAAAATGGAAATAATGTCAGCATCATTTTACTAATTTTAACATAACTGAATTTATTTTGACTTTTAAAACTTTAATGAGAAAACTACTTATAGGTGGAGTTTTAAATAGAGAAAGAAAAATGGACCATATCATGTCATATTAATAGAAAGTATGACCATGATGTCGTCCATAAAACTTCCGAACGGACTTTTTAACTTTACCAATAAAAACTCTTGGTTTAATAGCTTTACTGTAAGCAGTAACACTCTATCTAGGAAAACATGATAAAAAAAAGTAACCTGAAATACCGTATCAACCGGGAGATAACTATTCCATTTACCGGCATTGTTCGGATGTTGCTATATAGAAATAGAAAGTTCACAATTGGCAATTTGAAATCATCTTTTTGTCGTAAAGTGTACTTCGCAACCGACCATCGCTGATGTAAGTAGAGATATGAAGTAGACTTAAGCGTTTATCAAAGTCACCAAATATGTAGTTATTTAGTGAGATGACATCGCTATATAGCTGAACGTGAATTTAAAGATAATGCTATAGCTTCTTTTCATTCTTCCTAAGAAGCTCCTCTATGAAGTCAGTCTTGTATGAATATAAGAGCAAATCGGCGATAAGAGGAACAAAGTTGGTTCATGCAGGAATGTCGATTGCCTGTTGAAAAACACGTCATCCAAACGGTAAAAGATGAAGTTAATAAAAAAGTCAAACATCGTGATGAATTAGTTTCAAAGAACATTCTATTTGAATCAGATTGGGTTGTGTTAAGGTATGATTTATCTATTGAAGCGCATATGGTACACCCCTTGTAGAGTAATTTTGTTGCAAATAAGTCGGAATTATTAGTTATGTTGTGTGTTATAAGCTGGAATCAAATCATCATGTGGAGTCAACTTGTCGGAATGATGAAGTAAAAATTGCATTACAATGTCGACTTGCTAATATAAATGTCATGACATAGTAATACCACGTCGACATGTTGAATTCAACTTGTTAATTGATTAAGTCGACAACTTGTTTATTTGATGATGAGGCCTAGTAAAACCACGTGACCATTTTGGAAAAACATATTTCTATTTTTAAATCGATTTCCATATGTCGTTTGTTTAATGTGCTTCGGATGTGTGTCGCTATCCATTGAGTGCAAGTTCAAATTAAAGTTCGAGTTGATGTTCAGAGTTATTTGGTATGAAAAGGGGGAACGGCTATCAAATATCAGAAAAAAGTACTAAAAAAATAACACGGACATAAGGGAGATATACCCACACCACTTAGGGTCCAGTCAGTCGTCCTTTATTTTCCTTAGTTCTGAAATGGAATCAGTATTATAATATATTCGTGAAGGATTCCACGAAACCCTCTGTCTCGCCTGATATTGTTGCTGTCAGTATAAAATTGTAATGTTGACTGTAAAAAGTTCATTTTTCTGTAACATACAAGATTTGAAAAATAGTTAAAACATTAATGTCACAGGATCGACACACATCAAATGACTTGTACTTTATTGTCAGCAAATGAAACACTTTTAATCAACTCACACTCAAGTTACAGGGAAACGACGGATAATATAGGTCCCAATTGTCGAAACCACAATTCCGTCCTCTTTTCCTCGAGGATGACCTACCGCATTAGAATAAATCACTTGGTTTGTAATTTCACGAATAACACGATAGGTGACTCACGTTCTGAAGGATCAGCTTACTCTTCCGGAGCATCGAGATCTACGCCTGATTTTGATGAATTTATATTGGCCAGTAATACCGATCTATTGAATTAGCCAGCTGTAACTGATTTTTTATAGTTTTTGTTGTTCTGTTACACGGCGGTCCCACGATAGGTTTAGGGTTGAGCGCTCACAGCCAGGTTAAACTCCGCCACATTCTTCATATGCCTGTTCCAGGTCAAGAGCCTGTAGTTCAATAGTTGGTTCATGTGTTGCATACTAGTATTAGTTTTTCGTAAATTGTTTAGTTATTGATAAGGTCGTTACATTTCTCGTTTGAATTGTTTCACATTTCCACGTGGTGGCCTTTTATAGCCGACTACACAATTTGTTGAAGGACATACGGCTGCCTATGATTGCTTACATCCTCTTCATTTAGACTCTGGTGGCTAGTTGTCTCATTGGCAACCACACCACATCTCCTTACTTTATTTAGTAGCAGTTTCGGCGTCTTCGTCATTTACATCGTGCGGTTTCTCGTTTGAGTTGTTTTACATGTCATTTCGGATTCTTTCATAGCTTAATATGCGGTAAAGGTTTTGCTCATCTTCTTATTTTTATTTAACCATCGGATCCCTCCCCGTGCGCTTCCTTTGTATATGATTCACTTCGATTCTATACTGACTGACTTTAAAAACGCAACACTCATTTTGTTGATTTTTTTAACCAAATCATGGTTGATCCTTATACAACTACTATTCATGCTTACCATAGTTCTTCCTCTTAAGAAAAAAATCAACATCTGACTTTCCTGTGGTTATTGAACATACCGGATTATTGAAGTTACACGAATTTGTTAATGCGAAATTTGGAACCCATAAAAGATTTTTTTCAGTTTTTTCTTCTTCGTGAAACAGTTTTTTCAATCCATGGCCACATTTAAATCAGTTAAAACATGTTGCCTCTCCATATTGCCAAGACTGAGGAATAAAAAACTGAATCAGCCCATAAGAATATTGCAAACAGGAAAACGTGAACGTGCTGCTACCAGACAATTTGACGTCAGAAACTCGTCTTACTGTCCTTCCGACAACGATACAGACATACGGGATTTGTTGATGATCATCAATGACCAAATCAACATGTAGTGACAATGCAACGTCAATAGAATTTGATTACGCAACGTCATTTGCGAGACATGTTTACGGCCGCAACGTCAACTGCTAATCCAATTGCCGAATGCCATTGCACGCAGATTCATGCCATAAATGTTTACCATAAACTGAAATGCCAAAGAATCGACTGCAGAAAAACATTCAAAGCCCTAAAGTTTCACCAGCATAATTGCTAAAACACACTGTAATGAGTGGAACAAAGGTAAAATCAGAAGGTGCAAAACAGAACCAAAAACACGCCGAACAGAATTGGTTGACCTTTCTGACAATCATTTTGGCGTTGGTTACAGACAATGACACATCCATTGGTAAGGGGAAAACCAGGGTTTCAGTGTATACCACATAATTTAAACACTAAAAATGACGTAATCAATTCATCTTTCGAACTGCAATTTTTTTAAAACAATGAAGAAATGAATGAAATTTCTGTTCATAAGTTTGTTCAACAAAAATTGCATATTTGAAAATGGGAATTAAAAAGAATAATCTAGTGTTCGCGTTTCTTAAGTCGGTCAGTATACATAGATACTAGGGAACAGGAAAATTTGCTTTTTTTTTTGCAGTAAGTTAAACTGTTATGTCCTGAAAAGTTTATAAACCTCCATGAATTGTTATAAAACTTGTATAGGCGTTAATCTTCTAGATCAAGCTAAAGCAGCTACCGAAAAACCCTCTTAATCCGCCTCTGCGTTTTAAAGTCATCATTACAATTTTACCCTGACAGCAGCAATCTCATGCGAGACAGAGGGTTCCGTATAATCCTTCACGAATTTATTATAATACTGCTTCCGTTTGACTACTAAGGAAAATAAACGCCGGACCAAGCGATGTGGGGATATCCCTCTTATGTCAGAAATATTGTTATTTTTTAGTACTTCTATCTGATATCTATATCTGACTGCCGTTCCCCCTTTTCATACCAAATAACTCTGAACAACAACTCGAACTTTAATTTGAACTTTAACTCAATGGATAGATGGATAGCTACACTCATCCGAAGCACATTAAACAAACGACATATGGAACTCGATTTAAAAATAGACCTATGTTTTTTTCCTAAAATGGTCACGTGGTTTACCTCATCATCAAATAAACAAGTTGTCGACTTAATCAATTAACAAGTTGAATTCAACATGTCGACTTCGTATTACTATGTAATGACATTTATATTAGCAAGTCGACATTGTAATGCAATTTTTACTTCATCATTCCGACAAGTTGACTCCACATGATGATTTGATTCCAGCTTATTACACACAACATAACTAATAATTCCGACTTATTTGCATCAAAATAACTTTACAAGGGGTGTACCATATGCGCTTCCATATTTATCCCTTCCAAAAATAAGATGTATAGTAAGTGTCTACGTTGGCATTTTTTATCTACAACAAGTTGGACCTATTTTTTTCAATTGGTCTTTATAAGTTTATAGAACAACTAGTGTAAAGGATAGAGAAGTCAAATGATTTCATACTATTACACGGAAGAGGACTAAAAGGTAGACTGATTCCGGTTCTTTGAATTATTCAAGTTTAAACATCTAATACACACCTCCCCTAGAGTAGATAGTTTCAAAGCGACTCTGGTGGGGGTGTTCAGGGACACAAATACTTTTTAAGGAGTTTTTTTTACATTTCTTATCATAATGAGATAAGTTCTTATCCTAGGCTTACATTGTATTTGATCTACATGCATTTGTAGCAAACATTCTTGTCTTAAATTGATATTACTGGGTCCAATATAGATACAAAATGATACAGAATTTATTTTAATCAGTTGAATTCACATGAATAGATGTTGTGAATTGACCCCCCCTCCCCCACAAAAAAAATTAAAAAATTTACCCCCCTTTTTTTCGCTTTTGTGCAATACACTATGCTGTTGCGTATTAACCCACCCCCCCCCCCCCCCACACACACACACACTTTTTTGGGAAGAATTTTTCTTTTTAATTTCTGAAATCTGAAATGAGAAAAAATTGACTCCCACAATTTCTTTTTACCGCTCCCCCTTTCAAGATATGGTCATAATCTCAATTCAAATTTCCAATGGAGTTTGCAACCATAATTACCCATTTAAATTTACCATAGTGCTAACTTAATCTACTTTATAATAGAATTTAAAATATGGTGTCAAATTTTTCATATGGATTTTTTTGTACCTTCCTTACACTCATTTTGAATTGTCTTAATTGTTCATTAACCATTACTTTATACATAATTTAAAAGCAGTGTAAGGGAGGTAATTCAAATAATGTATTTGAATTACTTCCCTTACACTGCTTTAAATTATGTTTTGTACTGAAGTATTTGTCCATTAACCAGGACACCCTTGATTTTCCCCCTTTTTGCCCCTAATTCCTAAACGGTTTGAGCCATAACCCCCCAAAGCAAATTCTAACCATCCCTCTGTGGTATGGAAACTTGTGGTATAATTTCAGAGAGATCCATACACCGTTCCACAAGTTATTGTCTGGAAACTAGAAAAATGCTTATTGTTGGCCCCTTTTAGGCCCATAATTCCTTAACTGTTGGTATCATAACCCCCAAAATCCCAACCTTCCTTTTGTGGTATTGAACCTTATGGTAAAATTTCATAGAGATCCATTCACTGAAACTAAAGTTATTGTGCGAAAACCAATGTGTCTTCGGACGACGACGACGACGACGACGCCAACGTCATACCAATATACGACCGCAAAATTTTTTTGCGGTCGTATAAAAATGTATTTTGCTGTGTAAAAGTATTGTTCGATTTTGCAAAAATGAAAAAAAAATGTATAATTAATACCAGTGCAGTGCTTCCGTCTATCTCCAATGTGACACGACAATCTTTTCCCTCATTCCAAACAGTAGTTCCTGCATACGCTTTTAAACATAGTTGAATAGAATCTTTAACCATAAATTGTATTCTTCTGCAATATGGACAAATACTGAATCGTCTGCTCGAATATTTGCCGGGAAAGAAATCTGAAATACTGGCACTATATCGGTCGTTTACATACAGCAAATCTTTGTCCGCTAAACAAACTTGTTGTCCACAATAATCTGTGACTGTAAATAATAGCAATTATATGGAATCAAATTTGCTACAGGCATTAGCAGTAACATGCATGCAATCATTTACATCAAACAGTTATCAAATTCTTTTGTATGTAAGCAAATTCAAACCTTTACTTGTAAAAAGGGGTAGGGTGTTAGAGCCTTTTTCACCCTCAATGTCAAGTCCATTTTTTATTCAAAGGCAGTTACCTACAGGTTTGGTGATTTTGTAGTCCAGATTAATTATAATCAAACATATTACTTTACTAGAAAGGCTAACAACTACAGAGATTTAGACATTTTTCATTTATTATGGCATGGAAATGGTAATGCTACATTGCATCTCAAAAGAGTATATTAATGCCTTTATAACTTTAAAATTCTACCGGCTACAGAGCAACTAAGAATTGACTTTTTCAAATTGATTTGGTTTATGCTAAACAAAAAGTAAAATAACAAAATACCGAACACCAAGGAAAATTCAAAACGGAAAGTCCCTTATCAAATAGCAAAATCAAAAGCTCAAACACATCAAACGAATGGAAAACAACAATCATATCCCTGACTTATGTAGAAAATTGTGGATTAAACCTGGTGTTATAGCTAGCTAAACCTCTCACTTGTGTAACAGTCGCATAAAATACCATTATATTGACAACAATGTGTTACAAAACAAACAGACATAATAGGTAAAAATGTCAAAAATTAGGGTTAAAATCTTAATAATAACTATAAAACAAACAACTATGTCAACAAAGAAAAACAATATGGCATATAGACAAAGCACATAAGCAAAAAATAAAGACAAGTATACAATAAATGACCCTAGCACAATAACACAATGGCAGGATGTATAAATACCGAGCCACGCCAAAAGGATATTACCAAAAATGGACTAATTAGTAAAGGTTAATACTTTGGATTCATTTTAAAATATTCGTGGGATACCAATTTTCGTGGATTTCGTGGGTATAGGTAAACCACGAATTTAAATGTTCAACGATTTACAAATTTTTTATTGGTTTGAATGCAGACTTTGGGAAAACCACGAAATTAAAAATCCACGAAAATGCAAGATTTCCTCAATCCACGAAAATAAATGAATCCACAGTAATATACAAAGACAAATAAAAGAACAGTATAACACGTAATTAAGATGATAAACAACGTCAGTACCTATAATCTATACTTCAAGTATTTGTGAAGTTGATGCGGAATATTTATCAACAAGGTCTTGGTATCTTACGATGAACTTTTTTAGAAAAAGGACGAGACGTTCTTTGACATAACCCTGGTTCTTCAACTTTCTGCTCAGACACTGGTGACGTTTTATAAAGTCTGAGTAACAGTTGCAAGCTGTTGCATACCGAATGAGTTGGGAAATGTATATCCCATATGCAGGTGAAGTTGGTATATTGCTGCTAAGGTGAGGGAAATTGATAATTTCAAAATCATTTGTCATAGATTGAGATGACCGCTTATTTCAAATTCGAGATATAAGTCTAAAAATGAGGCGGAAGAAGACGTGTCTGTTGTTTCTTTAATTTCTAGTTCTGGGGGATATATTAATGGAACCCAATCAGAAAAGATTGGATTGTTAATGGAAAGAACATCATCAATATATCTGAATGTGAAATTAAATTAGCTGGCTTCTTTGATCTTCTTGTTTTTGACAAGTGTCTGAAGGAACTCTGACTCATATGAAAATAAGAAGAGGTCGGCAAGGAGAGGCGCACAGTTCGTTCCCATAGGAATGCCGACAATTTGTTGAAAAATTCTACCTCCTAATTCAATAAATATGTTGTCAATAAGAAACTCCAGCATACTGATCACTTGTTCCTTGGTGTAGCATGTTTTACCTTTGTGTTCATTATTAACAAAACATGCCTTATGGTATCCCAAAGCAATAAACGTATAGCGCATGCTATCATTTTTATATTGAAAAACATTGTGGATTATTTCTTTTAGACGATTTTTCAATTTGACATGGGGAATAGTGGTATAAAGGGTTGAAAAATCAAAAGTGCACTTGAATATTTAGGGTCAATTTTGGTTTTCACTATTAATGGTGGTTAACATCTCGAGTTCATTACTAGTATTGGAAAATATTCGGACTATTATATTAGATAGCTGTTTATCGGTCAGTTTGGTGGGAAATTACATAAATACAAGAGTGCACACGCTGAAATGTCTCGCCTGTTTTAATGACCATTGATTTTATGTTGAAAATCTTAAAGATAAAGGTTTTACTACAAGTATCACATAAACTAAACATTATTAAAGATCCATGACAATTAATGAGGTCACGGTAAGATAAAAACTGTCACACAGACATGTACACCTTACAATTATTCCATACACCAAATATAATTGACCCATTGCTTATGGTAATCGAAAAACAGACCAAAACACAAAAACTTAATGTTAACCAATGAACCATGGAAATGAGGTCAAGGTCAGATGATATTGGTTAGACAGACATGTACACCTTACAATCATTCCATACACCAATTATATTTGACCTATTGCTATTCGTATTTGAAAAACAGACCAAAAAACAAAAAATTAACATTGACCAATGAACCATAAAAAAATTAGGTCAAGGTCAGATGACACCAGCTAGACAGACATGTAAACCTTACAATCATTTCGTACACCAAATATAGTTGACCTATTGCTTACAGTACTTGCAAAACAGACCAAAACACAAAAAAATAACAATGACCAATGAACCATGAAAACGAGATCAAGGTCAGATGACACTAGCTAGACAGACATGTACACCTAACATCATTCCATAAACCAAATATAGTTGATCTATTGCTTATGGTACTTGAAAACCAGACCAAAACACAAAAACTTAACATTGACCAATAAACCATGAAAATGAGGTCAAGGTCAAATGACACCAGCCAGATTACAATAATTCCATACACCAAATATAGTTGACATATTGCTTACAGTACTTGAAAAAAAGACCAAAACACAAACAAGAGGCTGTCAGAGTGACAGCAAACCGGATTTTCCTGCAGAGGTCGAACAGTTGAGCAAGTATGGACACAACATTTAAGCTTAAAACAGCTTTGAATTTGGATTGTGATTGAATATTTGATACAGCATAGGTTTGTGACACAAAATAAATGTCGTCAAAGAACTGAAAAATTTGAAATTGGACATTTACCTATTATGGTCCAATATCCAAAATCTAAGTACATTGTTAGAATCAGCTTATCAAAGAACCCCAAAATTCAATTTCTGTTCAAAGGGAAATGACTCAAACTTGTTTCCATGAACCAGTAATGCAAATCTAAAATTAGATATGATTTCACATCTGAAGAATTGTTCTATAAAATTAGATATGATGTTTTTAAATTATAATCAAATATAATTAATAGTTCCCAATATTTTTTCTTTAATTTGTCACAAACTATTGTCTTATCTGCAACTTATCTATCAATGTCAACAGTTTTGTCTACTCAATGTAATGTAATGAAATATATCCTTTAATAAAAAATAGATTATCATCTAATGAAAATGATATTTGCAAATCTGGAAACCCAAACAGGATCAAGTCAATTATTATTCTATCCATCTTGTATGGAAAGGATTTATATAGGCTGATCGAGCCTTTATCCAATCCCTTTGTTTGAATGCTTAAACAATAAAATCTTTGAATTGAAACAGTATCAAGTACAATTCAACATTAACACACACAACAAAAAATAAAAATACCACATAACAATTGTGGCATTTACCTTCAAAACACACATGACTTAAAAAAAATAGTTATAAAGAAATTTTTGACGACTCCTGGCTAATCAATTGAACAGATACAATCATTGATAGACTATTCATCTCAGCTATACATAAACTTATCAATTTCTGTTCAAAGGGAAATAACTCAATCACATAATAAGTAAATTTCTGGTTTCTAAAAGGGTACAAAATATACCAAATATAGTTATCTTATTACTCATAATAGTGAGAAATACACATGGCAAAAAAACTTTTTTTTTTCAAGCAGATACTGAACCATGAAAATGAGGACAATGGGCATATGACAGACGGAAACTTCGTAACATAAGGTATCTGCATACAAGGTATGAAGCATCTAGGTCTTCTATCTTCTGAAATATAAAGCTTTATACAATAGTTTACGCCGCCGCCGCCGCCGCCGCCGCCGGAAAGTAATACCTATGTCTTGCATACTGCGACAGGCGAGACAATAACATAACTAATGTTTACATTATGGCCATTACTGTTGAATAACCGAAAAACATAAAAGGCCTTTATCCTTTTCGAGTATATACCGGAATCTGCTTTATATTATTTAAGGAATGACTGTAATATTTTTTCTGTCTATGAAGAAATAACATAAAAAATGTGGTGCACACTGAATAACCCGCCTAGCGGGTTATTTTAAAGTGTGCACCACATTTTTTATGTTATTTCGAATAGTCAGAAAAAATATTACAGTCATTTCTTATAATTTAATTCTTAATTTCATTTTAAACCGGAGTAAACCATGAAACAACGTTGGTGACGTCACGGTCACATGACAAAATTATGTCTGTGAGCTGATAAACAAAACAACGTTAGCCAATCAGAAGACGCGTTACATCCAAAATTAAATTATATAAAAACAATACTCAGTAATGATTAAATACGCTATGACATATCATGTTTACACATAAAAACACTCATTTGACCTCAGAAAAAAAAATTGTGTACCGATATATGCAGAACAGTCCAAGTTACGATTGAAAATGTTCCCTTTCGCATTATTATGCGTAAAAACAACTCAAAACATCAGTTTGTCATTGTTTTGGCATTATTATATGGGGTTTTCGATAAATTCCAGATGGATATTGACAAATGATTGATATTTACGTATTTTTGCAATTCGATCTACTAAATGTTCTGATGAAGAAAAAAAAAGGGTAAAATAATCGGATTCCCACAAAACTGAGTTACTATTGACATGTAGAGAATAGGCATTGTTCAGTCGACTTTTCGTTATTATATCAACGACCGAAATGATCTTAAAACATTAGATGGAAATACCACTCAAATAAACTTTTCTCACACAGATTTTTAAGTAATTCCGGTTGTCAATTGGTCGACTGCTCATAAATCAAAATGCAACTCTTTCGAAAGTTTTTAAAACTAACAAAACACCTGTCGATTCTCTAATGACCAGTTTTGATGAACAACAATAAAAAAATTAAAAAAATTATCACAAAAAGAAGAAGAAGACAACTTTTCTGGATTTCTATGATGACGCATTTAACTCCCCCCCCCCTTTTTCCCTAAGGTAGAAACTAAATATACATGGCTGTTGCGTGATACCAATAGAGGCACTGCCTTTAAAAACGACTGCGTTGCGACGAAGTTGATGAATAGCAAACAAGTGTTATTTTCAGTCCCAATGTCAAGCTTTTAACATCTAAACACAACAAATCTTAATTCTATACACTAAACTAATGTAACAGTATAGTGGTCGAATAGATTAACATAGAAAATGAGGTTAAATTGTTAATTTACTAATAATTTGTATGTGTTATGTAATCAATGTATAAGGTATGTTCTTAAGAGTGGATGGACCAAGTGTCTTTATGAGTAATTGTGACTGCCACTTCTCAATAATGGCATATTGGAACGTGAGCTTAAATAATCATGATGTCTTGAAAGGCTATTATATTTTTTTTGCTTTGACGCCTTACTGCGAAGTCATATTAACACCGAAGTCATTTTTTCAGTTGGACTTGGAAAGAGAATTTACTGCTTTATTAAAACATTTAGCTGATTTCTCCTTAAGACGTTTCACTTTATGAGAATAAAATATATTTTTTCCGGATAATATAGAACACACGTTCCGGAAATTCGGGTCTATAAAATTTTACCGAGTTTTGTGTAAAAATTTAATTTAATATACTCTCCTAAATTAAATCAGCTAAACGTTTTAAAAATTCCCCTCTCAAAGTCCAAAAAAAAAATGGCTTCAGCGTTATAGTAAGGCGTCAAAGCAAAAAATAACAAAATGTCCTTTCAAAACGTCATTATAATTTGGACTAATTGGAACGACTAAGATATTAATTTGTATCATGTCATCTCCCGACCAGCAAAAAGAAGTTTTTAAAACTTTCTTCAATGTAAGAGAGTGTCTCACACTCCCAAAAAAAAAGACAACAGATTCAATATCACCATAGCAGATGCATCTGACAACGTCTTTATGCATCCTTTATAAGAGTCCAATGGGCGGACAGGAGATATAGCAGTTACGATTACTTTTTAAAATTCAGGGGTGGATCTAAGAAAGCCGCAACACATGATCCCTATTTTTTTTTTAGAAGATCTTGATACTAGCACTGAAATGTTACTGTAACCTGCTACTCATACAAAATTTTAGACATTTCTAAATATCTTCTCGTTAATCTTGTTTTGTGCTTTGTAACAAACGTCAAGAAACTAAATAGTATTATTACAATTTACTCTTTAAACTCATTCATTTGATTAGAAACCATTTAATACCACAACAATTACATGCATATGAACTTAATAACATAAATCATAAGTTTATGATTTTCACTGCTCGTAGCGATATTTTTTTTTTGCGCTGACGCGATATTACGCGGTCATCAATCAATCAATCCCACCTATCTTTTTTATTTCTCTTTAACATAGGAATACTTGCTTTGTTCTCTAACTGAAAACACCTTTGGTGTTTCAAAACATTTTGTACAATGATTAAAGCTGACTTTGGTCAACAGCATGTCACTCACATCTGCAGTGACATTCACATCTTCTCTTGTGGAATGAACATAGCGCAAGAAAATGTCCTTAGTTGGGTAAGAGCCTATCCAAGTTGGATCACTATAACAGTTTAGTGTCTGTAAGAAAACAAAACATGCAAATTGGAAATAAATTGTGCAAATAATCCCGGTTTCATATGCAATGTGCCTCTGCAAAGTATAGAAAATTACAATCTAATTAAAATTAAGGTTTATCGCAACTGGAGTCGAGCATAATGAAATCAGAGATCTATATTTTAATTAGATTTGGAAAATTATGATCAATCATATATATATTGTGTAAAAGATAATAATTAATAATAATTCGGAAAGAATTTTTCAGGAATACATAATTGACATAGATTTGTTTCTTCTTAAAAAAAAGCCAATATCCATAGAACATGTAGAAGTTTAGTATGTTTGTTATTCCTGGTCATTTCAAAACAGTTTTTTTTTCACACTTGGATTTATATTTATCATTGTTAATGGCGAATGTTAAAAATGACCTACTATAATGTTATATTATGCAAATATGTAACTATACCATATATGTTGAAAATAGTATAAAAATAATTTCAAGTGAAAAATGTTCTGCACATACATTTGTAGAAACAGATGACTAAAAACAAAACATTTACCGATGTGGTGGTGTAACATTATACAAAGTCTATCCAAATTATTTTTGCAAAGAATTCCGCTCAAGCCGGTGCTAAGGGCCGTCTTTAACTTGCAGAGAGGTGAGAGTTTTATTTTGCTCCGTGACTTTGAGATGAAGAACAACAATAAAAGCGCTGTTCCTTTGCGTTTAGTGTGTTTTTTTTTTCAATCTAATTAAGTTTTTTTGCTGTGCATGTTCTGATTTTGTGCCATGGATGGATACCCCATATCCTTTGTTTTTCTAGTATATAACTTTATAATACCTTCATACATCTATTGATGGTTGGATCCCCTGGGTATATTTCTATAGCATATTGGCAGTCGTTCAGAATATCCATGGACACGGTAACTACCAGCTTTTCAAATCGACTAGCGTAGTAACTCTTTAGTTTAATTGAATAATAGCAACCATTTATATCAGGGAAATGTTGGCTTCCATTTCTTTTCAGAACCAGTTGCACGGTTTCATATTGACTTGTTGATAGGACTTGAGAGTTGCAATTAACAGTACTTAGATCAGCTACTGTAACATAACAGTAAAATCTTTTAAGCTTCAGTAGTGAAACTATATGGAGTCCGTGGATAAAAACACATCCCCCCTTTTTCTTGCGAATATTTCTAATCGCGTAAACATTCAGTTAAACTGACTAAAACTAACTTTTTCCAGTATAAAATATCAAGACCACATTTTCCACTTGAAAAGGGAAATGACGTCAATTAATGTTTGTTTACCTACTTACATGTAAATACTAGCCTTGTCTATGTGAATTTTGATTTCAAGAGAAGAGACTATATACTCAAATGCATGCTTTTCTCTTATATCCGACTATAAAACATATATTTTAATATTAGAAAATATTATATTCAGTGGTTGTCGTTTGTTGCTGTATGTATCATATTTGTTTTTCGTTTATTGTTTTGTACATAGATCAGGCCTTTAGTTTTCTCGTTTTTTACATTTTTCGGAGCCTTTTATAGCTTACTATACATCATGGCCGGGTTTCCATCATTTTCGAAGGCCTTACGGTGACCTACAAGTGTCAACTTCTATGTTATTTTGGTTTCTAGTGGGAAAATGTCTAATTGGCAATCATACCACATCTCTACTTTATATATATATAGTTATTTTAAATAAAGATGCGACTTGCGACAATATAACGTTGTTCTGCTTGTGTTATCAATGATAGTTTGTGGAGAATTTGAAATCCCGTTTACAGAGAAAACTGTCGTTTTATTGGAATACAAGTCTGTAATTGTCAAATTATGTAAATTAAATGATTAGAATTTCCAAAAAAGGAAACAATCTTGAATCTTTATCAAAATCTACTTATCACAAACTCAGCTGTGTACTTTGAGTTTCAGACAATATAGTAAAGTTTACTATTTTTCTAATCTTATATGTTTTAAATCGATTTGTGTGTGTGTGTGTGTGTGTGTGTGTGTGTTAAGTCCTATATCATTTCCCCCTACTTCAAAATGAAATCCATGTTCTGTTCTTTGTACTGTATGTATAATAAACAAGGACTAAAGACTCAACGAGATTTTTTAAAAAAAATATATAACTCCTTGTGACAGAGTGAAAAGCTTCAATAGGAATGCAAACATCCTGTGAAGTTTCAAGGGTCTTGGTTTAATTCATTGGAGAGAGGGGGGATCAATATTGAAAGGTGGAGGAGTTGATTACATATTATTGGTACATTCTCAAAACATTGAAATTTTGCGGAGAAAAGACGAAGTGAAAACTGTCAGAGGGATTACACAGAATATGTACCCGTTTCACCTCGGTCGCTCGCCCACACCTTCAAACGTCCGACGCTACCGTATACTACATGTTTAGTCGGTTTTCTTTTTGCAATAAATAGTTTTTACCTTTTAATATGATTGTGGTATACGCTTGTATCAAGACAAAGATCAAGAGCAAATAAATCTGAAAGCAAAATTTAAAAAAGATATTTTATTTAACAACATATTCAAATACTATGAAACAAAAAAGAAACAAGCATTTTGTTTCAACAATAAGCTATTTAACATGTTTAATGTGTTTATTTAACGTGGTAATCTGCAATACACTATCAGTCGGTATTTTTTTTAAAACTAGACTGAATTCAGTGATTGTTGCTTTTTGCTGTATATAATACTTATTTTCGATGAAAGCGTTTATTGTTTTGTTAGTTTTCTCGTTTGATCTTTTTTACAATTGTTTACCATTTATCCTGCCGGGGTCTTTTAAAACTGACTATACGGTATGTGTTTTGCTTATTGTTGAAGGTCGTATACAGTGCCTCATGGTTGCTATCATATACGTCATTTGGACTTTTGTAAGTAGTTGTCACATTGTCAAGCATATCACATCTTCATATTTTCATATACATTGCCCAATAATTTGAAATCAAAGCTTCGCTACACGTAGATAAAAGAGATTGACAAAAAACCACGCGGTTTGTGACTGTGATTTTTACATGCTCATTGGCAGGTTGTTGTCTTAAATATATCCTTTTATTCATTGCAGACTTCTTTGCCATTACAGTTTTTTTAATCATTTATTCCCATATACAGGGGAAATTGTCCCTCCGTTCACTTTTAACCTATTCCTCTTTTATACTTCATCACGTATCTACAAATTTACTAGGGTAAGGGCGGATTCAATCCCCTCCCCCCTTTTATGAAGCTACATGTTTGGTTAATGCATAGACTTCTGACTAGTCCCACTCCTAATGTTGCCTTGTTGACCCTCCACTTTCAAAATCTTGTGTCCGCATTTATAAGCTCATATGATATGGTTACTTTTAATTTGATTAATTTTTTACCAAATATGATAAATCTGAAATGCGGTTCCTACAACCAACATTCGTTATAAATTTCAAGACGTAACAAATTTTTTTGCTAACTCGTATTCATAAGTTTTTTTGCCTATAATTCAAATTATTACGAACAGTATATCGGGATTTTTGCTTAAAACTGTTTAAGCATGGTCCCTTTTCAAAAGTCTTTCAACTGTTACCCTGATTTCGCAAGGTAATTAGGTCTTTCCACTTTTCTGTGGAAAGACCTATTGGTTTTCTTCTGATTAATTTTTAGGTCTTTCCACTTTTCTGTGGAAAGACCTATTGTATTTGTTCTGATTATTATTATTATTATTTTCTTCTGCCAAATTTTGTTCTCGCATTAAATTTTTGTTTCGCAATATGTCGCTAAGATATTTCTTATATAGTATCATACAGTTTATGCGCTTTTTATTTTCACCCATTCTAAGCCGAACAATTTTCTTTGTAGGAGTTATCTCCCTGAACACTGTTTTCCTTGTGACTGCATCTCCTCCGTAACAATAAAAGAAAGCGACAAATTTATTTTATAAAATTGCTCGTTATATCCTTTGCATGATTTGTTCTATTTTGACCGAAGCGATATGAACACTCCATATGAGAGTTATTTCCCCTTATGCATTTGATTTAAGTGATATGCATTTCTATCTTGTAAACCATAAGTGATAGAGACCTAGGATCTTTTGATTTGAAGTCCTTGATCCGAAAATAAAAAATTTAGGTACAGGTCAGAGGTCAAGGTCATATTTTAAATTTTGATTTTGGCTTATTTTCAATTCTTTTCAAAAACCAACTAGAAGTGACCTTGTGTAAACCGGAAGTAGCCTTTTTTTGTACTTAATTAATATAAAAGTGTATAGAACCTGATATTTTTGGTATCAGTGTCAATTTAACGTTTGAATAATACCGGAAGTAACATTTTTCAAACCGGAGGTAACAAATTATCTCCTTTATTTAAAAAATATTGTAAAGAAACCCTATATTTTTGGAATCAGCGTACAATAAGCTATCATTTGACGCTGGAAATGACATTTTCAACCGAATTTTACTATTTTCATATTAAAATACATGTTTTTTTTTGTGGAAAGACCTTCAATTAATCTTTGAACAATTGGTTTTTAATTAATATTATTATTTTTTTTTTCTTCTTCCGGCACTTTTTTCTGACGGTGCTTTTTTATTTCACAAGATGTCGCTTAGAATTTTTGCATATGATATCGAACAGTTATTATGATTTTGAAACTGACCCTGTTAAGCCGAACACTTTATATTGTAAGAGTTATCTCCCCAAACACTGTTTTTCTTGTGTACAAATCTCCTTCGCAACCGTTAAAGATTACGACAAAATTATTTCACCAATTTGCTTGTTGTATCTTTCAGGATCTTAAAAATAATTTTGACCGAAGCGGTCCGGAGACTACATATGGGAGTTATTTTCCCTTTTGTATTTTTAATAAGAAAAATGTAGTTGTAGCTTGTAAACCATAAGTGATAAAGACCTAGCGTCTTTTGATTTGAGATCCTTGGTCCAAAAAAACGAAAATAGGGTCAAGGTCAAAGGTCAAGGTCATTTCTAAATTTGGATTTTGGCTTATTTTCACCACTTTTCAAACAGGATATAAGATATCGACAAAATATTTTTACTTAATTGCAAGTTGCGACATGTCGTAACACATACATATTGGTTTGAAGGGTGCGCTTACATCAAATAAGAGTTTTCTCCCCTCTTTATTTAAAAATATGCATATGGTGATATAACTCATGAACCAAATATAATTAAGATCTAGGGTCTTTTGATTTGAGGTCCTTGGTTGATGACCTTGAAATTGAGCCCAAGGTCATAGATTAAATTGACATTCTAGATTTTGACCTTTGCTTTTACCTCATTTGTATACATGATAAAGCCATGGGACTTTTTGCATTTAGTTGCAAGCCATATGACCTTCAAAAACGAACCGGAAGTGAATCTGTGTAAACAGGAAGTAGCTATTTTTTTTGTACTTTTTGAATGTAAAAGTATATAGAACCATATATTTTTGGAATCAGTGTCAATTAAACAGTGAAACAATACCGGAAGTAACCTTTTTCAAACCGGAAGTAACAAATTATTTCCCTTATTTAAAAATTTTGTATAGAAACCATATATTTTTGGAATCAGCGTACTATTAGCTATCATTTGACGCTGGAAATGACATTTTAAACCGAATTTTTACTATTTTCATATCAAAATTCTTGTTTTTTTGTGGAAAGACCTTCAATTGTTCTCTGAACAATTGGTTTTTAATTTTTTATATATTTTTGTTACGTATATATGCTAGAATAGGCACTTGGGGGAAAAAATCACTGCATTGTTTGTATTTTTGCAGATTGTTCCAATGTTTTCTTATAATTTTAATAAAGTTTTTCACCATTTGGTTATATTTTGTAATGAGAGTAAGTGGGTATTTTTCTTATTCTATTGGTCTTTAATAACGTAGTTTTTCTGTACGTTGTATTTTTAAAACATTTAGCGCCAAATTGAAGGACTAAAGAGTTCTGTCCCCTAATTGTTTTAAGCTTGTAATAGATTCAGATTAATTATGCTAATTAGATATGTGCGCATAAAAAGTGCGCACAAATCTCAGTGTGTAATTTTAAATTCTCAGTGTGTAATTTCAAATTCTCAGTGTGTGTTTTTCAGTTTATTTCATCTCAGTGTGTCTTTTGGAAATCTCATTGTGTAATTTTCAATTCTCAGTGTGTGTTTTTCATTTTTTGTAATCTCATTGCGTTTTTATGAAATCTCAGTGTGTAAATTTTAATTCTCGGTGTGTGTTTTTAGGTTTTTTAATCTCAGTGTGTTTTTTTTTTAATTCTCAGTGTGTAAATTTTTCGAAAATGGTTTAAACATAGTTTTGACGAGAACGGCTTGCCATATTTTACTGTCAATTTGGAGCAGGGTGGGATTGTCCATATTTCTATACCACAGGCACTTGTTTCTATCCGTCGGAAGGTCGACTATCCATATCTGTTATGGATAGTCAACCTTCCTATGGATAGAAACAAGTGCCTGTGACTGTGTTCTATACCAACATTTGCCTATATATGTCAACCCTCATGCAATCAACTGTTAATTAACATGAAAAACGACACAGGTACAACAAATAAAATCTCTGGTTTGAAAACAAGCTGCTTTAAATCTCAAATATAGCGTGAAAATGTTAATAAATTGTCAGGACGGGATGGGTGTAATCGGACTAATCGGAGTAAAATATTACAAATTGCTATGTTGTCATTGGTCGTCATTGTATCTGCAGAACAACAATCAATAATATAATATATATAATTTCTATAATTATATTTCTGCTACAAAAAAAAATGTTATTATCTAAATTATATACTTACCAATAAACTATCCATGTGTTGTTTACACACTACTGCTAGAAAATTGTGTAGCCAATACTGTCAATACTGACCTAATTTACGAAATACAACATTTGATCTAAAAATAAAATGTAAATACAAGTAGTAGCTTTTTAGAAAGCTTGTTCGATTTAGCTGAATCAAATTCTGGGACTGATATAATTTATATTAAAAAAATCACAAGACTGGACTAACCTTTTTTAGACCTCATTATGTATTTTTATTTATATATGTACAGGTCATACAATGAAAACGATAGGGATAATAAATCACTCTTGATAACTATAGCTGTAACAGTGTTTCGCAAACAACATAAACAAGTATATACTATGCTAATATATAATAATAAGAAAGATGTGATATGATTGCCAATGAGACAACTCCCCACCAGAGACCAAATGACGTAGAAGTTAGAAAGTTAATTTGTTTACAAGATATCTTTTTATAAAGATGTGTTGGTCGAAATTACAGCTTTTGAAATATCAATATTGGGTCATAAAATGTCTTTTATTTTTCATTGTGATTTGGGCTTTATTGTGCGATGTAATGCTGAGAAATTCCTACTACTTTTCTTTGTGACAGCAAGATTCATGTAAAAATAAGAATATGTGGTATGATTGTCAACTCTTCACAAGAGACGAAATGACGTAGAAATTAATTATACTTCATTCAAAAAAAGACATGACTGTGTTAATTTTATCTTATCGATTTTATGTACTATGAAAACTTTTAGTGTGTCTCTCAATCTAGGGATTAAAAATTATTAGTTACGCACGTTATTTCTTTTATATTGCTGGGGCTTAAAGAAAAGCAAATAATCTATACTCAATAACCCTTTCAGTTATGATTTGTCTTTGTCTCCTACGTCGTTCGGGTCAAGTAGGTTCACCCGAGCCGTGCACATTAAATCATATATACCGATTTGCTTGTTCAATAACTATAAAAAAAAAAGTACCCATTGGTTGTCCAATAATCATTTTTACCAAGATCATATTACAGTTTTTAATACAAGTTGCCCAGTTATTGATTTTTTTACAATTTGCTACTAATTCGATGTAGCACGACTTCACAATACAATTTTCACTACCATGAATTTTAAACCATAATTTGAGCATCCTAAAATTTCGCTTATATAACAATGGAAGACTTGGAACACCCCATACTTCACAACCATACATTAAAGTACTACATACATACGTCTCAAATAAACTAATAGAAGTAACAGCTAGTATTCAGGTATAAGAATGACGGCTTTTTCTTCATACTAACTTTCCTGCCTTGTTTAGCACAGTGTTTTTGAGTAAAACAAAATTTACAATTATAATGAAATAACGCACCAAGATAACAAAAATGATCAAAACTATGTAAAGTTTTACCATTATGAATCCATGTCTCATTAGCTCTGATTTTCCCACCTTTACGGAAAACTACCATGATCTTGATTTTCTTTGTGTTAACGGAAATACCCCCATTTCTCAGTATAAACAGATAAAGTATTTAACATATTTTGCAAGCCTTGGATTGATTCTGACATCAATATCATAGCATCAGCATACATTAATTAAAAAAAGTTTTATGTCCTGAAATTCAAGTGTACAGTCTCCATTAATTATGAATTAATTCTCGAGGTCAATCACATTAAATGAAAATACTATAGGTTATAGGACTTATCCTTTCATTAAGCCAAGATTATTTGAAAAATATTTAGAATTAAATCCATTGAATCTTATACAAGATCTTACATTGCTATACATAGATTTTAAAATTTTAAGCAATTTTCCTCCGATTCCTAATTTAGAAATGTGTGCCCAAACATAGACGATCAATTGAATCATTTTTTTTTTAATATGAGCAAAGCAACAATATAATATATTACCTTTACAGAAAGTATTGTGTATGACAGAATATATACTTAACAAAGCATCTACTGTACTGTAACCATTACGGAAACCAAATTGTTCATCAGATAAAATATCGTTCATTGATGAATTATCTACAAATTACTATTCAATATAGCAGTGAGTAGTCTACCTAAATTGCTGATAAGACTTATACCACGGTAATTTGATGGGTCGTTTACTTCCCCGGACTTAAATAAAGGCAATAGAATCGCATCAGACCAAGTGGTCGGAAGATATCCGGAGTTCAGAACAACATTGAAAATAGTACATATATAAGGCAGTACGACGTCCTGAAACTCAATGAAAAATTCATATAACAAACCATCAGGACCATGACTTTTCCCGTATTTTAATTCGTGAATAACTTTTTAAAGTGCCAGTCTTTTTAAGAATCAGGCAATTTAGAAAAATTTAAAAACATGGCCAAAAAACCCACCGACCTAACCATCCTATTTTGAAGTTACCCTCATCCTGAGTTAAACATGGTAGGTTTTTCGTTTCTACGTGTCTGGTAATTCGAGAAATCTCTAGATAACTTTTGGTTAGAATGATAGCAAACTTTAATTATGGAGTTAGCTCCCCTTAATTTTTATTTTTTAATGCATTTCAACCCAATTATAGCTTTAATTACCAGAACAGGAAAAGGAAACGAATGTTATTTTCGTGCTCCATTGTACATTTTACTATAAATTAATGTAAACTTGAGTGGGTTTTTATTTGTCATGTTTTCACCACTGCCTGATTCTTAGGCAGATTGGCACTTAATAAGCTCATCAATATTACACGTGCAGTTATGTAAAGCATATAGATGCAATTGTTGTTACAATTACTAATATTCTGATTAATTGTTATTTGCTTCACATCCAGTCGCAAATGTTTTATGTTTATTCAGAACGAAATTACAAAAAGAATTGAACCATTCGATCGGAATCGTCAGCAGAGAATGACAACAAATAATATCAATATTATATAATGAAATATGATACATGTAATTGAATTATGAATTGCGAATATAATCAGCTATATATACTTGAGGATGTTCGCTACTCTTGTTTTTTGACTTTTTGTCAGATTTTCGGATTCATTTATAGTTTTTGAAAGAAAAAAGGTGCCGAAACATTAGTGTTAAATTTATGAAAAAGCTAGAGAGAATCATTTCCCGCCAAATTTTCAATTGATTATACATAAAAAGAGGACACGGACCTTTCATCCTTGATTGTTTTTGCTGTTATGTTCCGTTATTTAAATACTATAAATGTATAACAGTCTTTAAAAAAACTTGTCATTTTGAAATAAAGGAGAGAAAATCCTTGAGTAATGGTCTTTGATGCTACAGATGTATAAACAGGAAATAATTGTACAAATACACAACAAAAAGTTATCCAATAAAGGTATTTGTCACATTTCAAAATAAAATGGTATTCATCTTTAGTTATATGCTTTATACACTGTGTCTATTAAAACTACCCCGGCAAAAATGTTTGGACTCAATGGAATCTAATACCCGGTACGGTGACGGACCATCAACAGACATAGAAAAGGTAGGATTTCTGTTTATTCATTTGTTGTTTTAATAATATTGAAGAATATACATACACATATAACTATTTTCGATTGTGAGATGTAATATTTTCTACTTCCGTTCTAGATGAATGGAGAAATAAGTAAAAAGGCACATCAAAATGGTGAATTGAGTGAACCTTACCTCGAATTTGTTTAATTTCTCTTTAAATTGTGCACATTGTACGGAAAGAAAGGTATGGAAAGAATGATATTAACACGGAGATTGCAAGACTATTCACTATGAGGACCTCAATATTTGTATTTCTATGCATGGAACGAAAGAAATGGGTCATGTCAAAATTGAAGGACCCGGTTTTGGCAATGTGTACGACCCGGTTTCGTTCTAAAATTTCACAAAACAGACCCGGTTTTGTCATAGAAAATAATGCATAATCGCATGACGTAGATTAAAATCTGGCGCTGAACAGGAGTTTGAAGGTTCGTTGGAAAACAATTTTTTTTCAGAGGAAACTTATAATCTATTTCAATCCGTAAACACCTAAATTCCTGATTTATTGGAACAAAAATAATTTTAATACTGCTTTGTATAATACCAATACTTAACGGGTAAATACAAAGAAATGAAGGTTTTGTAACGCAATTGATTATTTTTTTTTATCAATTATGTAAATTTAAGTGTTCAAACTTGGATAGTGTGCGGCCTTGGAAATTGAAGGACGCACATATGATATGTGATTTTGTGGGACAACAGGGTGGTTATCTTATAAATATTCTACTCTACCTAGAAGGGGGCAGTATGGTCGTTTGAAAATAAATATTCTGACCACTAAATGTTCATTATATAGCAAGAGAATAAGACAAATATATATGCATGCAGAATCGCCTTAGAAAATGAATTTCCATGTTGCGCAAAGGATCACAATAATAATGCGTTGAATATCTGTTTACACCTCCTTGTAACTATAATACCAAGTATAAATTAGTATGATAGTCTCAGGCCATCCAGAAATTGCAATAAATAAATGATTATTAAATTAATAATTTTATAAATGAACGGTTCTTTTTTGTCTGCATTGTGTCATGATTATCGTACATTGACCAATGTTCTACATTTTAGTGACGTTGGTCAAGTTTATAATTTTCAATATGGGCGGACCGAAGATTTTTGAAAGGGGCGTAATTCCATAAAACGGATTATATACCGCCGAGCGTAGCGATGGAAATTTGTTTTGGACGGTTTTATGCTGAAAAAATCATATACAATATTTGTGTTTGTATTTAGGAGCAATTAAATTAATAAATTTTGGATTTTATACTAATAAAATATCTTATCTTATCTTATCTTATATAAATCGTGAAAAAAAAACATGATATGATAATTATTTCTAGCCATCAAAAAAGGGGGAATACTCTACAACCCCTGATCCGCCACTGATATAATATAACTATATCGTATGCCATCATAAAATTTAATAAAAAAAAAACAGAGACATCCTCCAACTTTGAGTGCCAACCGCTGATTTACTATACAGGCTTTGAAATCAAATGAGTGAAGCCTTTTTCGGCTGATTTTTATAGTTTGTTCTTATGTTGTGCTGTTATACCACTTTTTTTAAGGGGGTGTTGGCGCTAACACGT